AAAGGGGGTTTCACTGGAATAGTCTGACTGTATTAAAAGGGTAATAACATTGTCAAAATGACAAGTTGTGATTTTTAAAGAGATGTCGATGGATTGCATTACTGAGAAACAGAAACAGGATGACCAGATTGAATGAGTCAGTGCTATACCTAAGTGACCCATGGGGAAACTCCCAAGACACACATCCTCTCTTCTTATTCTGTCCCCTCCCCTGAGCACCGACACCAGTTTCCTTGTGAAGCATGCTATTCTTCTGTGGCTGTGTTAACTTCATGATGAAAGTTGTTGTTGTTAAATGCTGTGGAGTCGTAGACAACTCATAGCATTTCAGAAGTGGATGCCACTCCTGCTTCCATGCTTGTTTTGATTGCAACCACGAGTTACTGAATATATTTTCCCAGACATGTATAAACATCCTGATTTGTTAGAATCCCAAGTACAGACATGAATAAAAAGAGAAGCCTTAAGTTCTGACAACACTGAAATTTTTTAAAAGTATTGAAATAAAAGAGAGTACAGGTTTATGCATTACCTTGTTGACCCTTAGGAGGAATTGAGAAAAATATAAGAAAAAAAGAGCTTATGCACCGTAGCTGTCATCTGCTTCAAGTGGGATTGGAAAGTACTTAAAAGAGAGTGAAGATAAAGACTCTACCGCTGAACAATATCAAGTGCAGGCGGATAGCACTTTGCACCCTCTGGTCTCACTAGAAATCCTGCAAGCAGCATTTGTGAAAGGAGGAAACTGGCAGAAGAAAGCTGGATTTCTACTTCAAGGCTGTTGAGAGGACAGAAAACAGAGCTAAAAGCCACAGCAAGCCACCTCTGCTTTTGCAATATGTCAGCCTAAGAATTATGATATTCTCTTCTCTTCCCTTCTACCTCTTCTTGGTAATTCAAAAGCCACAGCCCTTCACACTCATTTTCAGTAAGTCATGCTTGGAACATGGCTGTTCTCTAGGGAAAATGAATTTATTTCTTTTCCATCTCAAGCCTGCATAGCAGATATAAAACATCTTTATGGCAAAACTCACAATGGATGGAGTTAAAAAGCAACTGACCTGTCAAGCAATTTGTGACAAAGGGTTAAACATCTTATAATATATAAAAAGCTCTCACAAATAAGAAAAAAGAAACATGAACCAAAACAAAATTATCCACTCTGTGAAGTAAAAAGATGCCTTCCCCAAACAAGATATAGCTTAACCTTTTTTTTTTCTCTTGTCATGCTTTTAATCTGAAAGGTGAGGCAAAGAAAGGGGGAAAAAATGGACAGAGATTGGAAAAAAATGATGAGAGGCTCTGAAAAGCAAGTGCAGGAAGAAATACGAATGCTAATGAATAAGTGTGAAGTCATGTTCAATTTCATTAATAAAGAAATTATAATTGTTGTTTTGTTGCTGCGTGCTATCAAGCTGATTTCAAGTCACAGTGATTGTATAGGACAGAGTAGTACTCACTCATGGGATTTTTTAGGTGAAATTATGGCAGATTGTTCTGGGAACCAAGACTGTCCATTACTTGTGGTTCCAACCCACCAGCACTCCCTGGGAGAAAACCAGACAGTTTTCTTACATTAAGACAGACAGCTTTGGAAACCCATTGAGGGTCATTTTGAGTTGAAACCAATCTGAGTGCAGTAAGATTTTTTTTAAATATATATAAGAAACCCCCCCAGAAGTTTTTTATCTTATGGAGCCCCCTAGTAGGTTCCAACCACTGGCTGATCTTACGGTTATCGACAGCCTTAAGGACGGCACCATGGACCCAAGCCAAACTGCTCCATAGGGCTTCCAAGGCCGAAATCCCTCAAGCCACTAATTGTTCTTTCTCCTGTATAGTGGCTGGGGTTGAGTTTCAACTACCACTTTTTAGGTAGCAGTTGAGCACTTTTAACCTCAGCACCAGAGAGCCTTCAAATGAGAACTATGCATTATATTTAACTTGCAAATAGTAGTTTACATAATGCTTTTTTTAAAGCTTCCTGTAAAATAGGGTCCGTGATTCTTCCTTTGATAATTAATTTAACTCTACAAAATAATAGGAGTAGCTTTTAAAAAAGTATAAGTATGTTCATTACAAGTTATTCATGAGTTTACAATTGAAATCATTTACTCCGTGAATTAAAGATTAGTAGAAGAAATGAAGGGAGCACTGGTGGCCTACTGATGAGAAGCTGTGCTGTAATCCCAAAGGGACAAGATTCGAATCCACAAGCTGCTCCTGTGGGAAAAGGATGGGTAATCTCTTTTTTGTGATTTACTGCCTTTGAAAACTCACTAGAGGGACAGCTGTAGGTTTTGTCCAATTTCATGGTACTCAACAAAAACAATTATATCTGTAAGGGAGTCCTGGTGGCCAAGTGATAAGAAACTACTCTGCAATTTCAAAGGCAAACAGTTCAAATCTACCAGCTGCTCTGTGGGAGAAAAATAGGCAGTCTTCTTCTGTATGATTTGTTCTTGTTGTTATGTGCCGTTGAGTCACTTGCAACTCATAGCGATCCTATGTACAACAGCACTAAACTCTGCTCTGTCCTGTGCCAGTCGCACCATCTCTGACACACCCATCCCGATTACCCCAATCACTGAATCAATCCACCTCATAGGGGCCTTCCCCTTCTGCGCTGTACCTCCACCCTACAAGCATGATGTCCATCTCCAGGGACCTGTCCCTCCTTGCAACATGTCCAAAGTATGTTAGACGGAGCCTCAAAATCCTTGCCTCCAAGGAGCAGCCCGGTTTGACCCTTTCTAGGATGAATCTGTTTGTTTTCCTAGCAGTTCAGGGTACCCTCAATACTAGTGCCTCTGAAAATCTGCTGTGAGCCAGTTCTAACTCACCAGCACATAACAACAACAAGAACTCAATCTGTATATTGCAATACAATTAGAGGAGACGGACTAAATGAAGAATTTGGCATTAGAACTGGAGAAGGGTTAATCCACATTGTAGTCCAGAAGACTCAACTTTGCTTCTAGAAAATGAAGATGATTTACAGCACTTATGGGTGAAGCTCAAACATTATAACCTTTAGTGCACATAACAACTCAACATCAAGAAAACAAAATTCCTCACAACTGGACCAGTAAGAACCAGCACGATAAATAGAGACGTGACTTTGGTTGTCATGGATTTAATTTCATTTGATTCCACAATCAACCTTCTCAGAATCAACAGTTAAAAGACCAAACAGAGTACTGTATTAGACAAATCTTCTACCAAAGATTTCTTTGTAAAGTTTTAAAGTGTGAGGATTAAAGACACCTTAAAGACAAAGGCTTACCTGACTCAAGCCATGGTATTCTTAATCACTTCAAAAGCACGTGGAGATGAGGCAATAAGTAAGGAAAACCATTGATGTCTTTGAATTAGGGTGTGGGCAAAGAAGATTGAATACACCACACACTCCTAAAAAAACAATTAAATGTCTTAGAAGTGTATTAAGAATGTCTTTAGAAGCAAGGATGGTAGGACTTCATCTGATATACTTTAAGGTTATCAAAAGGGGTCAGCCCCTGGAGGACATTAAGTTTGAGGGAGACAAGCTGATATGGTAACTGCAACAATGGGTGTCTCTGCCCAACAGAGATTGTGAGGGTCGAGCAGGAACAGGCAAGGATTCAACCCTACGAGCTGAGGTAACCGGATGGCACCTAACAGCAAAACCAGTATCTGTAAAGGAAGAATAAAGTAGTACTTTGTTTTATATGAAATGATGATAAACAATGTGAAAATTACTCAAATGTGTATGTGTGTGTTTGAGATCTTAAGGAATTCCAAGTACTTGACTCTAGAGAATCTGGTTCACATGTTGTTATGTGCAGGCGAGTCGCCTGCGACTCATAGTGACCCTATGTACACGAGCTCTGAACCCTTCCCTGTCCTGAGCCAGTCTCACTGACCCCGACACACCAATCCCCATTGCCCCAGTTACTATATCAATCCATCTCATCCTGCTGTCCCTCCACCCTTCTGAGCATGATGTCCTTCTCCAACGACCGATCCCTCCTGGCCACGTGCCCAAAGTAAATGAGGCAGAGCTTCAAAAACCTAGCCTCCAAGGAGAAACTTGGTTTCACCCTCTCCAAGACAGACCTATTTGTTTTCTTGGCCATCCTCGGTATGTTCAAGACTCTTCTCCAGCACCACAACTTGAAGTCATCCACTCTTCTTCTGTCATCCTTAGTCATTGTCCAGCTCTGATGCGCGGCATGCAATTGCGAAGGTCATGGCTTGGATCAGGTGCACCTTAGTCTCTAGAGTGACATCGTTGCTCCTCACAAAACCTACTTTTACAACGGACCTCGGCATTAAGGGCTGAGTTGGAGTTATCCACTCTAAGATTGCGTTTCATCCTTTACTTCAATGTATATCAATTCTGACAGAGCCTTTGAAAATTCCCTCATTCTAATTATCTAGGTACTAGACGTCGGTGACTAGTCGGGAGGGCGAAGCAGCTAATTTTAAGGTGCTCAATTCTGTCTGCTCGCACAACCCTGGGCATTACAAACCCTTCTTGGTCAGCAGGCAAAAAATATGGGTGACTGAAGGACAGGGACACAAGGTAAACCCGCTCTTTTAAAGATCTCTCCGTCCCTCGTCATTTGTGGAAAAAGCTCGGCTCCCACTCCCTTCTGGTAGGCGGGAATGCGGGGAGGGTCCTACCAAGCCCTCCAGCCAATGGCTGCACGGTTACAACCACTCGGACCAATGAGCGACTAGCTAGCATCTGATCCGCTTCTGAGCTTCCCTAGCCAATCAGAAGCGTTCTCCAAACGCCCCTTCCCCCCTCTCAGTGCGCAGACTCCAGGGAAGCTGGGTCCCCGGGGCGGCTCCGCGCGTTGCCATAGCGACCATCTTACGTTAACCCGTTTGTCGCTTTCCGCCGGGAGGCTGGGCACCCCGACGCCTCGCGTTCCCACGGGGCAGCCGGCCGCCGACGGGCCTTAGCAAACTGGGGGCTCTGGCCGAGCCCCCCTGTCGCTCCTCGGAGCCGGATGGCTGCGGAAGAAGAGGAGGAGGTGGAGTGGGTGGTGGAGAGCATCGCGGGCTTCCTTCGGGGCCCGGACTGGTCCATCCCCATCTTGGACTTTGTGGAGCAGAAATGTGAAGGTAAATGATAAAAATCCACCCTTCTGGCTGACTTTTTTCTGCCGCGGGCAGCAGGGAAGTAGCCAGCCGCAGCCATCTCTCCCCCGAGACCCCCAAACCCTAGACTCCCACCGCCGAGGCCGAGCTGAGATTGCAGCCCTGGGGGCGCAGTGCGAAGGCAGAGGGGCTGCCAACTCCAAGGGGCCCGGTTCGAATCTACCTGCCGCTCTTGGAGGGCAAACCTGGACACAGTCTCTTCCCGTGTGATTGGCAACCCGCTAGAGGGTCAGCTGGGAGCCGCGTCCCGACCCCACGGCTGTGACTTTGGGGTCTTTCGATGTCGGAAAAGCGCCTTCCATCCTGGCTTGCTTTTCCTGTACGGAATTGAAAATGGAATCTTCCAGCTCCCGGGCCCAAACGCCTACCCAGTCTGGAAATTAACCAATCTCTCCTTCTTCCTGCACCTTCTGCTTCTGCCTTGGCTGGGATTCCTTCACCTGCTTCCCTGGCGACCTGAGAAGCGTCTGTGTCCCCGCATTCCCTCCAAACCCTCAGTTTTCCGCAGTCCCTTTAGGAAATGAGAGATAATTTGCACCCACCACCCCCTCCCAGATCAGCAGTGGATTGATCTCCCTTCTGCAGGCCTCACACCAGACCAGACATCGACAGGTGTGGCTTGTATTCCCATTTTTAAGACCGCTGGCATTTGGCTAGGCTGAAAATGCGGAGCGAGGTGTACGTGCAAGCAAAGACTATGCAAGTAATCTGATTGTCAGTGTGATGGAGGGGCAGTTCCAGCCTCTGATCGAGTCATACTTGGGAGTTCTGCTGTGTGGTTTTGGAGATCAGTTGGATCTCATTGAAGGGTAGACCAAGGGAGCACCACCCCCCCAGCCGTTTATTGTGGTTGTGTAGTTGGCAGGATTTTGAGTAACAACACCCCACATTGCAGAGATTAGATCTGGACATAGGACGCTCAATAGCGGAGAGCTAGGATCAGTGAGTGCAAGTTGCAGGAAACTTTTCCACCAAGGAAATGCTTCTTAAGCACCTCTTGCTTGTGAAGGGTCATGATGAGTAGTTGACTGTCTTATAATGCGTTCACTTCCCCAGGCACTGTTGTCATGGTGTGCCGTGGAGTCTGAAGGGACTCAAAGCTCACCCTCCAGTGAGTTTTCGGAGGCTGGAAATACCCTTGGAGAAGAGATTACTGCCCATTTTTCTCCAGAGAAGTAGCTGGTGGATTTGGGTTGTCAGCCCTACCCTTTAGACCGCCAGGGCCCCTTTCCCCAGGCACATGCCATGTTTTAAGGGTGAATCTGACAGCACTTTGTTCAGAATGTTGTGTGAACAGAAGCGATGCACAGCTGACCCAGCGGGGTTTCAGAGGCAGTTTTCAGAGATTGCCCATCCTTTTCCTGCAGAGCAGCTGGTGGCCTCCAGCTGCTTGCCTTCGGGATTGCAGTGCAGCTTCTTGCCACTGTCATTTATCACATGGTTGCCTAATTCTGTGGATAATCTTTCAACAGTTTGGGGGTTTTGTTCTTGAACTCAACCAGTTCCATGAATCTGGAAAAGATGAACTGTAGATTGACACAGTATCATTTCACTGTATTCTCAGTGCTGCACAGAGAAATCCCATTATAGCGGTTATCATTTTTATGAGTACTTGCTTTAAAATCCATGAGCAAAAGCTCATATACCTTTGCGCTATGGTGCCGGAGAAGAGTGTTGAATATATACCATGGACTGTCAGGAGAACAAACATTCTAGAGAGGGTGAAACCAGGCTGCTCCTTGGAGGCAAGGCTTCTGAGGCTTTGTCTGACATACTTTGGGCATGTTGCAAGGAGAGGCCAGTCCTTGGAGAGAGACATCATGCTTGGAAGGGTGGAAGGACAGAGCAAAAGAGGACGATCATCGATGAGATGGGTTGATTCAGTGACTGGGGTAATGAGGGTAGGTGTGTTGGAGACAGTACAGTTGACACAGGATAGAGCAGGTTTTCAGGGCTGTTACACATAGGGTCGCTAGGAGTTGAAGCGACTCTACAGCATATAACAACAACAACAACAACAACCTTGTTAGAATTTATACTATTATGAGACTAGTGAAGCAGGAGGAACATGACCTCCGTTAGGGAGGAAGAAGACATTATGTCACCTCTTGATTCCACTTACGGCCTAAAGGCTAGATGGGAAATAGGGGGAAAGTATTCTTTTTATTCCCAAATATCTGAAATAATTGTTATTGTTAGGTGCCATCAACTCACCTTTGACTCTTCGTGACCCTGTGAATAACAGATATGATTCTTACCATTTCCTATGTGATTGTCAGAATCTCTGATTATGCAGACACACATTGTTAAAAATCACTGTGTCAGTTTTACCTTGTTCTATGTATGCGTAATAACACCTCTGATTAACGGTATCATTTCACAGAGAAGTCATAATCTTTAGCCTTATAAGCCTGTAGTGTAACTGAAAACAGTTTCTCTCTCATTGCGTCCAGTCAGAACCAACTCGCAGCTGACCCCTCCAGAGGGTTTTCAGAGACTGAATCAAACGAGTGGAGATTACACATCTTTCTTCTGTGGAGCAGCTGATGGATTTGAACCACCTGCTTTTTTGGGTTGGAAGTGCAGCTTTTTACCTCTTGGTGTTGTTATGTGCCATGTGTCTCCTGTGATTCATAATAACCCTATGAATAATAGCTCTGAACTCTGCCCTATCTTGGAGCCAGTCTCACTGTCTCCTACACACCTGACCCCACTGACAACAGTCACTATGTCAGTCCATCTCATCCTGGGTCTTCCTCTTGTGTGCTGACCTTCTACCCTTTCAAGCATGATGTCCTTCTCCAAGGGCTGGTCTCTCCTGGCCACGTGCCCAAAGTATATGAGACAGAGCTTCAAAAGCATGGCCTCCAAGGAGCAACCTGGCTTCACGCTTTCCAGGAAAGATCTGTTTGCTCTCTTGACAGTCCATGATATGTTCAGCACCACAGACCAAAGGCAACAATTTTTCAGTATCCTTAGTCTTCATCTAACTCTCAGATACATAGCAAGCAATTGAGAAGACCCTGACCTGGATCAGGCACACCTTAGTCTCTAGACTGATACCATTGCTCTGTAGCACTCTTGAGAGGTCATTGACAGCACATTTTCCAGCAACAACTTTATATACAAGGCTACTCAAAAATAGTTTAAGTAGTGGCTGTATTGCAGGTAGTGTCTCTCCTTACATAGAGATACCAGGTTAAGTGATAGTTGCATGCCAGTGACGTGTAGAATAACAGATTTTACACTTTTCTAGCTTTGAGTTGTCGGCATATTCTCATGTACCTCACATTAAGCATAAAGTTAAGTTTTGTTCAGCTTTGTTACATCAACACTTTCAACAAATACTGGTCCAGAAGCTGAGAATGGAAGGATGTTTCATTTAGATAGGAAGAGAGGCAGGTAAACAGAATTTAAATAGAACATGGTCAGTGTTACAGTAAAAGTAAACACTTGGTGCTATGTATTAGGAATAGAGGAAAGGATCTAAATGCCCAAGGGACAGCAAATAGGTCATGGAAAAGGTAACACTTTCCCTGTGTCTTGAATGATGGAGAGAGAAGGAAGATAATTTACTTTTCCCCACATTTTTAGCTCCTTTTTAATCTATAATGTGGACTCATGTTACCTGTGCTATAGAGTTATCAAGAGGATGCCCGGTCAAAGAACATTATAGTCACTACATCAGTATGACTAAATAGCACTGCACAAATCTAGACCTTTGGGAGGTACAGGGATAGAGGCTTTAGGAGGAGGGTTTCTGAAAAGATTGGAAGAGAAGAGGGAGAGTGGAAAAAGTAGACGTGCTACCACAGAGTCCTGGAGATTGAAGCGGTCAGTGTGCATGTTGTGTTTGAAGGCATCTCAAGGACTTAGGTTTTGTTATTTGGACAAAGTGTAGGTTCAAGAGTGCAGATGGGTCTTGTCTGGCCTTCTAAGGATCTTACGTTAATTTTCTAGGCAATGAGCATCATAAGCCCAAAACGACTGATGTTTTTGTTTTACATTTTAGATAGGTCATTCTGGGGAATTAAAAAAGTTTATTTGCAATTCATGGATTTGTCCCCCTTCTCCTGAGAGAGAAGATGGCATTCTCCGTTCCTTCCATGTCTCATGAGTATAATCACGTGGGGGACGTTTGTGCCGGTTCTTTATTTTACCTCTATCATTAATCGAGGGGAAGTAAAAGTTACCTACTCAGTTCCAGTTATACTTGTATCATTAAAGTTTAGGCAAAAATGGGTCTGTAGTGTTTTGTAAAGAAGATTTAATGTTTAAAAAGTATCAATAGTAGTGTCTCATTAATAGCTCTCAAAAAAATTCTTGCCTTCTATCATTGATAAGAAGAACAAATTAATATTTGTTCCAGTAGCAGATAGCAAATAGGAGGGGAACAGTTATTTACAATTAACACAGCATTTTTTTTTCTGTTGTAGGATAGTATTCATGAAGTATTAAGGTACATTTGAATTTTAAACAATCAGATTTTGTCAGTCTAATGAAGAGTTTTCATCCGTTTTCTGAGGAGAGGTAGTTTGTTTTAAAAAAAAAAATTTTAATTCTTCTAAAATTTTAAACTTGAGTTAAAGTTGTGGGAATTACGATGTAAGATGCATGAATGTTTATATTTATCCGCTGCTCTGTCTGCTGTCAGGGATCTCTCCAGAGTACTAGAGCAACGATGTCAGTCTAGGGATTAAAGTGCGCCTGATCCAGGCCATGGTCTTCACAATTACGTGTTAAGCATCAGAGATCTGGGCAGTGATCAAAGAGGACAGAAGAGTGATCAAAGATGCCTTTGAGTTGTGGTGCTGGAGAAGAGTATTGAACATACCATAGACTGCCAAGAGAACTAACAGGTCTGTCCTGGAGAAGGTGAAGCCATCCTGTATATTGGAGGCAAGGATCTTGAAGCTCTGTCTCACATACTTTGGCCATGTGGCCAGGAAGGACCAGTCTCTGGAGAAGGTCATAATGTTTGGAAGGATGGAGGGACCAGCGCAGGAGGGGAAGACCCTGGATGAGATGGACTGACACAGTAATGAGGGTTGGTGTGTCAGGGACAGTGAGTTTGGCCCGGGATAAAGCAGGCCTCAGAGCTAGTGTGCATAGGGTCACTTGCTCTGAGTCGTGTCAACTTGACGGCACAGAACCACAACACAGCCGTGGTAAAAAGATGAGATAGTCTGTTTCCATAAAGATTTGGAAATCCACTGAGGCAGTTTTCACTGTTCTGTGGGTCACTACAAGTATGCACCTACTTCACACTGAGGACTTTTACCGGATGGTTTGGGCACAGTCTCATAGTTGATGGAGGTCTTTTGGAACTATTTTCAAAAGCAAAAGACATAAGCTCCTATTAGCTATGTATATTCATTTCTTGGGTCTGTTTACTTAATGCCAAAACTAAATCCTATTATGGACAGCGTTTTATAATCTGTGAAGTATTATCTGAGACGTACCTGAGCATTTCTAAAATGTTGTGATGTCCTTGTAGAAGATGAGGAGAGAGAGGGGGGAAAAAAGATGACGAGAATTTAAAATGAATAGCATGTTTAGACGAGTGTGCTTCGTGTATACTTAATCATGAGACAGACCGTGGTTAGACATCATTTAAAATATGCTTATGATGAGGCGCTCTGTAGTTAGATACCATTTAAAAGCCTCTTAAGAAAGTGGTCATGAGGATTTTCTCTCTATATTCTGAGAATTTAAAAGCTCAGGGCGCTGTCAAGTGAGAAGCTCTTTGCTATATTAAGTTGCTCGCTCTGCCCATTATCCAGTGAGCATTCTCCGCTCTGCTCATCCCTTCAGACGTGAGAGGACTGTTGAGGAAAGACTTTCAGATGAACTTGGGCTTTGAGTTCAGTACTTATATGCACAAGGGGTTTTTTAATTCTTGAAGAACCTTTTCATTTTAGTCCCAAACGCCTGGGTGTCTTGTCCTTTTGGATTAAAGTATTATGACAATCATACTGCATTTGAAATTAGTTAGAATAGTATTAATAGTGAGTGTTCTTTTTAAGGAGTATAGGAAACTAAGGAAGGGATTCTTTCTCTGCTGTAGCTGAATATTATAATCTGCATATTCAGGTTTTTTTGTATGACTGTTATCAGGGTATTTACCAGAGTATATTTAATGTGTTATTATCAAACTGTCCCTTCTGTAGGTACAGTGGTAAGTAGTGGGACTGCTCATCCAAAGGTGATGCCTCTGTGGTGGTTCAAATCCACCAGCAGCTCTTTGGGGAAAAGATGGGCAATCTCCCTGGTGATTTACGGCCTCAGAAAACACACCTGAGGGTCAGCTATGAGTAGGTTCCGACTCACCTGCAGTGAGAGAGAGAGAGGAGAGAGAGTCTATAGTGAAAGCTGAGACTAAGGATCTGAACTTAAGAAAGAATATTGTATTACATCATAAACTTCAGAATTCTGCCTTTCTGAGAAGCAATCTGAAAAAGTTGACCATGTGTCAGCTCTTACTACCTGTTTTCCAAGTAGTATTGGATTTATAAAATGTTAGATATAGTATAAATCACTAAAAGTAGAATTGTCTCAATGAATGACTGGAAACCCTAAGTCTCTGTAAATTTTCATTAAGATTAATTAAAAAAAGGCAGAATTGGGCAAGCTCTGGTGGCCTAGTGGCAAGAAGCTGCACTGCAATCCCAGAGGAGCATGGTTCAAATCCACCAGATACTCTGCTGAAGAAGGAGGGACAATCTCCTCCTGTACCAGTCAGATCTGATTTGACGGTACACACACAAAAAATAATAAAAATAATTTTTTTTAAAAAAGTGGAATTGTCTATCTTTTCAGATGTCCTTTTTATCTAAGAAAAAACAATTCAAAGTTAGGTTAGAAGTAGGTTAATTATGTTTCTAAGGAGTACTTTTATACTTATATTGGTGAAATTAAGTTTTTGTACACTATTTTTCTTTTAAATTTAGTCTTTGATGATGAAGAAGAAAGTAAATTGACCTATACAGAGATTCATCAGGAATACAAAGAACTGGTGAGTATTTTTTTTAATAAATACTAGAAAAATAGTGTTATCTTTCTGCCTATAAAAAAAGGACTTGTCTGTTAAAATTCTCTAATTTTGCAAAAATCAGACATATTCTAATAATGTGGTTGTTGTATGTACTGTCAATCCAGAACCAATTCATGGCTGACCCTCCACCTGGTTTTAAGAGACATTCAGTCTCATAGAGCAGTTGGTGGATTTGAACAATATGCTTTTGGGTTGGCAGCCCAACTCCTTACTCCTTAGCCACCAAAGCTCCCCATTCTAATAATACTTCAGAGTTAGTATAAAATAATGAAGCTTCTCATAATGAGGGTGTGTGTACCGTTTAATCGGATCCGACTGGTACAGGAGGAAATTGCCCCTTCTTCTCCAGCAGCATCTGGTGGATTCGAACCGCATGCCTCTGGGATTTCAGTGTGGCTTCTTGCCACTAGACCACCACAGCTCCCTAAACATCTTATTCTTAACTTCTCATTTTAAGGAAATAGTATTCCATTACTGTATTTTATTTGTTTTGTTATGATTGAGGATAAACACATCAAAACATACACCAATTCAGAAAGGATTATTTTCTTCAACAAAATATTTGTAAAATTTTGTTTTTATTTTTTGGTGATGTACTCAGGGAAGTATTAATTATTCTTTAGCCCTGGGTGTCCTATGATTTTAAAAATGCCTCTGGGTGACTGAAAAGTCATGCCACATCGACTTCATAATCCTCAAATGATTTCTAGTAGAGAGAAATGGAAGATTAATTTATATGATTCTCTGAAAATTGTTTTAACTTGTTTTTCTGTGAAAAGCAATGTCATTGCCATATAATAAAATGTTGGCTAATTATTGCAAGCAAACATTTGATTTTACTTTTCTAAGGTAGATATGAGGGAACTCTGGTGGCTTAGTGGTAAGTAACTGTGCTGCCATCCCAAAGGCACATGGCTTAAGTCCACCAGCTGCTACTTGGGAGAAAGATGGACAGTGTCCTCTTGTGTGATTAACTGCCTCTGAAAACCTGCTGGATGGTCAGCTATGGGTACACAACAACAACAAGGTAGATATTAGGGAGCTTTAGTGGGTAAGAAGTTGCATTTTCAACCTGAAGAATCCAGTAGCTACTCTGTGGAAGACAGATGGGCAGTCTCCTTCCATACTATTTACAACTTCATAAAACCCACTGAAGGGTCAGCTGTGAATCTGTTCAACTCAGGTCAGTGAACTTGAGGTTTTGGCTTCTTGTTTATTAAAACAAAACAAAACCACCTTCAACAAAGTATAGTTTTGCTGGTATTTTTGTTTGTTTTTTTTTAAATTATACTAGTTTATTTACAAAATTCGAATACATTGTTTCCCAGAACAGACTCTTCCAGTTATACCCCACCTCCCCCCCTTCTCAGTCCAGTAGCATTCTGACTTTCATGGACTTCCTAGTAGAAAAGTATGTATGATGAAAAGCAGAATGTGATTTTCAAAATTTCCACTGAAAGTTGGACATTAAGCTGCCTTCTGTTCCATTTCCCTTTAGAATGTCTTTTGTTGAAAGATTTGATGATATTTTAATTTTTGAAAGATACAAGGTTGTTAGCAGAAAAAAAAACCCACAAAAAATCCCCAGCACGGTAGATGTAAGGAGCTCTGGTGGCATCATGGTTATGTGCTCGGCTGTTAACCAGAAGGTTGGCAGTTGGCCCCACCCGCTGGTCTTGGAAGCCTCAGGCAGTGCTGAGGCCTGGAGGGTCCCTGTGAGTCAGAACGTAACTGTTTTCGGTAGGATAGGGGGTTTGGATTGAAGCTGGATATGAGAACTGCCATTTAAGATATTTCTCTATGAGCTCTAAAAGTTAAACTTTCTATTTGTAGGTTGAAAAGCTGCTAGAAAGTTACCTCAAAGAGATTGGAATTAATGAAGACCAGTTCCAGGAAGCATGCACTTCTCCTCTTGCGAAGACTCGTACATCACAGGTTCTTCCTTAATTTTTCTCACATAGAGTTTTACTCCTAGAGAAATACCCAGGGTTTCACTTCTGTGTGTGTTCCTCATGTGCACTCCTGGCTCTCCAGTGCAGTGACATTGTTAGTCCCAAGGATAATAATTTAGCCATGTGGGAGGTGCAGAAAGAATTCATTCCTTAGTGATTCGACTTGAAGGCACCTCAAGAAATGATGATCTGAGGCATTAATGAACCAGTGCAGTTAAAAGTGAACTCTTTGAACACAGAGCTAAAGTACCATCACAGAGTTTACCCAGACAGCTGTTTTAATTTTGTAGATCTCTGTTCACTCCGAAGTTAATGTTTTCTAATTTTAGCAAATCATCAGTCCTTACTTCCATATTCGTGGGCGTTACTTGTCTTGGAATCTTTAACAATTGTTTCACTAGCCCTGCACCACTGGGGTGAAATAGGTATTATATCTGTTTCTAACTACTAGTTACTGAGAATTTGGCCTGGCTTCTGTTTTCATCTCTTCTTACATATATGATCTCATTCTATCTTTCTGATACACCTTAGTAATCTGATAGTATTTTACTTCTGTTTAAACTCAGAAAACTTATCACTGTCTAGCTGGATCACACTCAGAACAACCCACTTTCAGATTTCTGGGAAAAAAACACACAGCAATTCTCAAGCTGAAAGAACTGAAGAACACAATGCCTCAGGTTGCAGTATTGCAGGGTGCTGTGTGGGGGAAATCCTGCCTCATCTAGGAAACAGCAAAAGAAGATGGAAGAAATACACAGAGTGACTGTACCTAACTAAACTGAGAGACACAAAAAGATTTCTAGAAGTAGCATATTATCAAGAACCATGCATGTTAAAGGAAGATGTTTAAGCTGCCCTGAAGGTATTGGCAAAAAAAAAGCCGCAGGAGTTTATGGTTACAGACTGGGGTTTTTCAAAAGACATGCAGTCCTGGAAGTGCTCACTAGTGTATGTCAAGAAATATGGAGGACCCGGCTGACTGACTGGAGAGAACCATATTTGTTCTTATTCCCAAAAATAATGATCCAATAGAACGTGCAAAGTATTGAACAGTATCATTAAAATCTCATGCAACTAAAATCTTGCTAAAGATCATTCACAGACAGCTCAAACAGTACATTGAGAGAGAACTGCCAGAAGTTCAAGCAGGATTCAAAGAGGCCATGACACCAGTAATTCTATTGGCTGATGTCGGGGAGATCTTGGCTGAAATCAGCAAATACCAGGCGTCTAACTTGTATTGTCTTGACTGTGCACATGCATTTGACTGTGTTGATTGTAACAAATTATGGTTAACATAAAGAGGGAGGGTAATCCTAGAACACTTAATTGTGCTCATGGGAATCCTATACATAGACCAAAGAGCTGTTGGTCAAGCAGAACAGGGGAACACCACATAGTTTAAAATGAGGGAAAATGTGTGTTAGGGTTGTCTCCTTTCTCCATACCTATTCAATCTCTATGCTGCACAGAGAATTGGAGAAACTGGTCTGTGTGAAGAAGAAGATGGCATCAGGAATGGAGGAAGACTCATCAACAACCTGTGTTATGTAGATGACACAACTTTGCCTGCAGAAAGTAAAGACTTGAAATATATACGGAAGAAGATCAAAGACTACAGCCTTCAGTGTGGATTATATCTCAATATCAAGAGAGCAGAAAGTCTCATCATTGGACAAACAGTTAATAGCATGATAGAAGTAGAAATTGTCAATGATTTCATTTTACTTGAGGCCATAATGAACTTCTATGGTAGTAGCAGTCAAAAAAATCAAAAGATGTGTTACACTAGGAAAATCTGCTGTCAAAGACCTCCCCAGAGTGCTAAAGAGCAGTAATGTCAGTTTAAAGATTGAGGTGCACCTGATCCAAGCCATGGTATTTTCAGTTGCTTTCCATGGATCTGAAAGGTGTATCATGACTAAGGGTGACAGGGCAGCAATCAATCCTTTGAGCTGTGATGTTGGAGAAGAGTACTGAATATCCCACGCACGGCCAAAAGAACAAACAGATTTTGGAGGATGTGCAACCAGGGAGCGCCTTCGAGGCAAGGCTGGGGAAACTTTGTCTCACATAACTTGGGTATGTTGTCTGGGAGGACCAGGACTTGGAAAAAGACATCATGCTGGGAAAGGCAGAGGGTCAGAGAAATAGAGCAAGACCCTTGGCAAACGTGGATGACGCTGTAACTGCCACAGCAGGTGAGCGTGACGAAGACTGAAGATGGGGTGGGAGAGGGCAAGTTCGGACCTGATGTTCATATGGTCGCTGTGAGTCGCAACTGACTTGGTAGCACCTAACAACATCAGATTTGACTCCTTTGTGGTGTTTTTAGTATTTCTTGCATTCTTAACATCTGATAAAAAGAGATCACTTAGTTCCTAGTAGCTAGTTGTCAGGAAATAACAAAACAATTTAACAAGTTGCCGCAAATGACGGTAAAAAAAAATGTGTTTCTAAGCATGGTCATCAGTTAAAAGTGTGCAGCAACGTGTGTTAAATTAGCTTTATAATGTGGCCTGAAGATAGTTGCTTTGTCTGTGGCTTAACACGTCCCTTCACTTTGAAAGCCCGGTGAAACACTGCAGTCCAGTCCACAGCCAGGCACAGGGCTGGAGATCATAGCAACGGCACCCAACCGTTGTGCATGAGGTTGCTGTGAACCCAGGGTTTATTTGTAGACAAAAAGTCAGTGACAACCCCTACCATAGAGCAATAACAACATTATCTTCTGTTTAGTTGAAGAGTGAGAATATAATTGAAAATCACTAACTAGCATTTAAATTTCTTTTAAAATATTGATACCTGTTTTTATTTTCTTCATTTTTCAGGAATACAAATTTCTGTTTCTGTTAAAATTTGTCGGCTTCCCGTTCAGCCGTTGTGAATGAATCTCAGTACACGTTTGTGAATGAGGCTGTTCTCTGTAGCAATAGCCACGTTCTTCTTTTATTTTCGTTACCGAACCATCTTTAAATTATTTGTACATGCAAGTGTCTTGAGCTTTAAAGTACTATTTTCGGATTCATACTGATGGATCTTTCTCTTTTATTGAACTGTGCAACGGGTTTTCATTTCTTTGGATTTAAGTGGTAGGAGGGATCCATTTATTTGGTTTTAAATGACAGTCCTGGGAAAAAGACATCATGCAGGGAGAAGTAGAGTCAGAAAGAGAGGAAGGCCTTTAACAGCACGGATGGCCACAGTGACTGTACGAGTGGCCTCGAGTCCATTAGAGGTCATGAGGATCACACAGGATAGGCCGAGGTTCAGATTTCTTGTTCATAGATAGGATGAATCACTGTGAGTAGTCGTTGACTTGATGGCATAGTAACAACAGCAGTTTTGTGATAGACCAGGAGGAAGGCTTTTGAACCACACATACTGAGTTTTGAGTTTTGGATCTTCTGACTCCTATATGTGAAATGGACAAGATTCTTAAGCTTTCTGGTCGTCACCTTCCCCATTGTAAAATAATAGCATCTACTGTGAATTATTGCCTGAACTTCCAAAAGAACAAACAAAGACGCCTCGGCGAAGGTGCAGCCAGGGTTCTTCTCAGAGGCCGGGATGGCAGAACTTCACCTTATATATCTTGGTTGTTGTTGGGAGGAGCTGCTCCGTGGAAAAGGACATCATGCTTGGAAAGGTGGAGGGTCACTGGAAGAGGGGAAAACCCTCAACAAGGTGGATTAACAAAGTGCCCACCAGTGGGCTCTGGTGTGTCAGAGATGGGGAAGGTGGCGGATGACAGGCGACAGGGCAAGGCTCACATCTGTTGTCCGTAGGGTCCCTGTGAGTCATTGTTGCCTCCACAGCACCTACCAGCAACAAGTACAATGAGAGGAGCCCTGGTGGCACAGCCGTTAACTGTTTGGCTGTCACCCAGAAACCCCACTCGTCGTGACGTGGAGAAAGATGTTCCTGTAGAGATGCCGGCCTTGGAAGCCCCGTGGGTCGGTTTTCCCCACGCAGTCGCTATGAATCAGAATCAGCTCGGTCACAATGGACATCTACTGAGAAAGGCTTTTTGAAGTGTAACAGCTAATGCCTGCCGTATACCACATGGTCTAGAAACGGAAGCAGCTATTAATTAAGGAAGCTATTTTGGGAGTTATTAGCAGTGAGCTAATCAGGCCAGGGTCATGGGTGCGTTCTCCATGTGAACTAGTTAGCTTTATTCTCTTCTGAAGCAAACTCTTAGCACAGACCGCTAAGGCAGCATAACTAAGTCAGCACAGCTCCTAATACCTGTCATCGTTATGACAAAAAAGCAGCGCAGAGTCCCTCACTTAGAGCTTTGCAGCAATAATGGAAACTGTAGGCACAAAATCATGGTGCTGCTTCTGTGTGTCAGTGTGGGGTGCCAAAAAGTGAATTTGAGAAACCATTTCTTGCCTTAGGAAACTGAGGAGGTAATTTTTGTTTTCTTTCATTTTGGTTCCCTTTGCTTCTGTCTCTCTTCCAGCCCAGTTTCCCTTCCCCCGTGAATGATGCTGCCGAGGCAGATTTGCCAAAGCCTTTTCCCTTGGTCTAGTCATGATTAGACAGAGTGGCCCCCGGGTACTTTTTGAGTCTGACTTCTCTTCTCAGTAAATTCACCTGGAGCAGGAAGGCATGCACCTGATGAATAGCTCTCAGAAAACAAAAATCTGAACTTTTAAAGATTTTTTTTCTGTTCTGTGTGTGGTTCCTTAGGAAATGCTGTGAATTAGGATATGCCTCCGACTACTTCTGGAAATAGGGTAAGGGTATCGTAAAGAGAGATATTTCAGTGGTCTTCAGTTGCGCTTTGGAATTTGGGGTGTTTTCCAACTGAAATAGGCAGGAGTAATTTCCTTATAATTTTTTTTACCTCACTAAAACCTTATTTCTAATTATGGCAGAGCTTAAGGACTTTTACACAACAGTAATCAAACCAGTTGGTGTTTTTGGCTTTTGTTGATTTTGCTTTTGAGTTGATTAATTTTATAAGATAGA